AAGCTTGTTCTAAGTAGGTGCTTTAGACCACTGAGCCATCTCACCAGCCCTCTAAAGAGTTTTAATAAGTAAAAAGCTCCATTATTTCCAAATGTCAACCAAGAAGAAAATGAATACTCAGTTCCACCAGCATTCATCGTAAAACTGAACAAAAAAGGGAGGAAAGATGAAGACTGATGAGTATTATTTTTGTTTTCATACAGATAAATACTGCTTCCTAAGTAAAGGCTCAACACCACTTAGTAATCTGAGCTGGAGGGACGAATAACTGGTCCGCAAGGTTTTCTTTACATGGTTCTGTACAATGAAATGCCAACTGCACTACTTAGGAATGGCTTGCTAGGACGTTGAAAAAGTGAAAGACTTCATCCTTGTCATACATGGCCACTTCAGTGGAGCATTCTATGCACATGACGGGGTGGAAGATTTCTTCGGCTTCTGCCCGCTCTGCCCGATCTTCCTGGTTAGAGCGAAGCTTCTTGTGGCTCCATCTTTTCTTCCTGTTGTCTGGGTTTTTGTATCTTAGAACCTCCTTTTTGTTGACAGAACAGTTCATCACAAACATTGCTCTATACTGAGTTTTGTAGGATTCATGCCTTTGGCAGTCGAGGCGTAAAGTGGTCATACAGGCAGGGCAATTCAAGACAACATCACTATTGGGAACAGGCTGCTGCTGACGTAGCCTCTGTCGTCCAAAACCATGATAACCTCTTCTCTGTGCATCAACCCAGGCCTGGTCTCTATTATCTTTTTCAGGATCATACAGCCACTCATCATTTGTTGGAATCCTGTGCTGTCTCTTCTTTTTCTTCTTGTTTACCTGTGCTCCTTTGTCTTTATCCTCAGAATCAGAATCAAAATATATATCGTCGTAGTACTTTGCTGGAGCTATTCCAACTTTTTCATTTCCTGAGGAAGACCCTGTTCCAAGAGAAGACAACCTGTCCTCCATTGTTTTTATGGTGGAATTTAACTCAGCTTCCATTTCTTTTTCAAATTCATCTTCACTAGAGGACTCACTTTCTCCAGTAAGACACTCTCTGATGAGTTTTCGTTTCTGGTCAGGGGTTCCATGTAAAAGTATATCCACTTCATCTTCAGACCTAGCATACATTTAAATCAGAAAGAATATTAATATTCACAGTGCCTGCATGACAAGCACAAGGTTCTGAGTTCAATTTCTGCTCAAAGCTGGCTCCTCGTCACTAGGCTCTTCAATTGCATAGGGGTCATAGTCACCCTGGAGCCGGCTCATGGCGTCCCGGAGATAGCCTACACAAACTCACACAGCTTAGCGTTTCTCTTTACACTGCCCCAAATTATTTCTTTCAATGTTCCGATGCTGGCTTTTGCTCAAATTCTGTTTCTCAGCCCAAGGGCATAACTCAGCAGCACAGTGCCTGCCTGGCAAGCACAAGGCCCTGAGGATTTTTTTGTTTTATTTTGTCTTTGTCTTTTTTTTAAAATTAATTAATTATTTTGTGTGTGTGGCCAGCTCAGCCCACCAGGGGGCGGGGCTGGCTGGCATGTGGTGCTGGGGGATTGAACCGCGGTCCCTATGCTTTGCTAAGCTTGTTCTAAGTAGGTGCTTTAGACCACGGAGCCATCTCACCAGCCCTGTCTTTATCTTTTTGAGACAGGGTCTCG